TAAGAACAGAGGCAGGGGCGAGAGACCCCTGGTGTCCAAAGAGAAGGCCATTATTAAGATTTGATTTATCTTCTCAAATGCTCTATGTCACACTTCACTTACTTTACATCCTCTCTTGGCAGAGTCAAGCAACAAATCAGTTATGTGCCAAGGGTACTCAAATGGTACATAAAATCTTCATCTATATTTCCGTGATGGGTTTTCTGTTGAGGGTGAAAAATGATCAGGTGTACAGAGATGCCCTGTGGGTCAAAAGGACGGACAATGGCTTTGTCCAAGTCCTAGGATGAGAATGGCTGTCCACGCCTCAGTTCCTTTCCATCTGCCTTTTCTGTTTGGCTGCTGATAAATATCCTTATCTATGAGAAACAGGTGATAGATTTCAAGCCGTACGTCTCCACAGAACTCTTCTCTCATCTGCTCTATTGATATCTCACATCTACTAAACCATCCACGTTGCAGTATGAGGCACCAACACCTTCTGGGCCTCTTTGCCTCAAATCATGTTAGCTCCACTTCCTTTAGGATTGCCTCTAGGGCTGCCCCAATGAATAACATCTATCAACACCCTAAAGTGGAGGCCAGGAGCTTGTGGAGGCAAAGAGCTTTAGCCCTCAACTCAGAGGCACCCTACAGCAATAGTCCCTATCAGATATGTCACACATGTTTGAAGGTGTGTGTGTGAAACAGCCAAGGAGAACAACTGCCAGAGAGGTTGAGAGACAACACAGAGAGATAAAACGATGAGTACAACATATGTGTGAGCAAATTAATTGCTAAGGGAATTACGATCACTATCACTTCCTGTGATGTAATTTAAGAAACAAATGGCTGACTTTCTCCCAGATCAGGGGAAAGATGAGAAAACAGCTGCCAGCCTGAACATACTGTGATTGTCTGCATACGGGTGATGTGGTTAACAAACAGAGGCGTAATATGCATTAGCCATCATTTATGTCACGAGGTGGTTGGAAATAAATGAAAACTGGAATATCCTTTACCAACCTCATCTTAAAGACGCTTTCCTTTGGACTTTTTATTTGCCTTCCTTTTTGCAGATTCATCCACTTTCTGCCATAAAAATTTCATGAGAGAAAATAGATAATTTAATCTTCATTAAACATACAAGGAGCTCACTCTCTGGCCTGGCCAGCTGAATTAACTGCTGGGCTTCGAGGGATTAGACTGTTAGGCTGAAATTCCGTAACTCCGACGAGCTTTATATCATTGCATCTCTGTTTCTTAATGGAAAGAAGATGATCATTCTCTGTTCGCTGTCAAGTAAGTCCTTAAGAGACTTACTTGACAGAACAGAGGAGGGAACTTTTGATGGACTGACCTGTGAAGGTGAAGCCGGAGACTCGGGCAGACAAAGGAAAGGAGAGAGGCCGTGGTTTGGGATTGTAATGACATTGAAAAGGTGGTAAATAAATAAGATGGGCTTGGATCTCTTTGAAATCTGATTGATGTGTCTTTTGGGATGCCCCCCAGTATGAAAGACCTACTGAGTCTGTGGCTTTCATCCCTGACCGAAAATCGATGAGCCAGGATGTATGAGAGGCTCCTGCTCTCTACCCACCAATCTCCTGCCAGATTCCCAGGTAACTGTCTCACAAGAAAGGGAATAAGAGATAAAAAAGGTGTATGGTAACTTATATCTTTTTAGTAAAACTTAATTTTAAATTACACTACAGCAAAAGGAAAAACAAAAGCTGCAATACACCCCAAAAAGGAAAAGCAACCTTCAGAAATTAACTTCCTGAAATGAGCCTGAACTCCAAAACAGCAACATTGTTTCCCTGGTCTCCATCAATCCATCCACTTTCTGTGTGTTGAATTAGGAATGGCTGGTGTAATTGCATAACACATGAGTATGGCCTCGCGGGTTAGATTTTCCATCTTACACAAAGTGGAGACAAGGAAATAGGAAATGCTTCTGGAATTGGGTGTAATTAAGACTGACGGCGGCAAGAATTGTGCTCAGCCTGACACTTGAGGTAGTCTGCTGAAGTATGGTTTAGCCTAAAGGACGACAAAGAACAGCATGCTGGGTTTAAATGAACTCCTTTCAACGCAAGTGAAGATTCTTGTATGACTAACGGAGTCTCTCTCACACACACTGCTCGCTTAAGGATGACAGGAGGTTAATCAAGCTTTAAAGCATGAGATTACAACAGACATGACAAGCAGGATTGAATAGATTTGCCACAATGTCTGCTATAACTGTTCTGAGAACCTTTTCTAACAGAAAATTCAGGGACTGAATTGTCATCCCTGAGCCAGACAGAAACCGCATTTACACATAAACATAGTACACAAATAATACTGCTTCACTGACCCGAAGAATATGTTGCTATTCTTGACGTACTGCAAAAATATTGTAGTACGTAAAACAAACAAACAAAAACACCACCAGTTCCCCACCTTACATGCTGAAATAGCAACCCAAAGACAAGCAGACACGTTGTTACACAATATGGACACATTGTCCTCTGTGATTGGATGAGACAAGGTATCCTTATTTTGCATAGCAACTGATTACATTTAGAAAGAAATGTTCCCCTCTTATCACCTCAGAGAAGAGACTCCACGCGGCAGTTTATCAAACCAGGATGGGGCTTCATATAAATAGACAGGGAGCTGTCAGTAAACAATGCATTCTAGTAGTTTCACAGTGCTGTGCACTTGGTGGGAGGGCAGGGATTTACCGTAATGACGCAAAATCCATCATAAAGAAAAGTGTCATCCTGGTTACTTCCCAAAAATAAGAAAACAATTTATGGGCACAAAATATGAAATTAACAGGAGGTTAATCAAGGCGAACAAAACAGTTTTAAATAAAGATGGGCAGTATCTAGTTTTGTAATTATGTGATCTCACTGGTCACATATGATTTCATATTGTGCAGTGGTGTCAGAAGTTTCACCTTTGGTATTTGCAGGAAGTAGTAGTTAAGATGATGTCCTCAGTGAAGGTTTATCCCACTATGAAGTTCCTTTCAAATTTGGCAAATCATATAATTGATGTTAAGAGTTGTGGTGGTGGTTTTAGTGAAAATTCTTTGCTTTTGAAAGTCCAAACACGGTCAGTTTAAGCAACACTTTATTTTTTCATAAGCGTTAGTGACCAAGGATGATATTCATGAAGCTTTCACTGTAAGTCAGACTGAATGCAGACATCTCTGCATTCATCAACGAAAAAAAGGTGACTATTTTACCGCTTCAAACCACTGCATCACTCCAGCAAAAACATTTAGTTACAGGGAAAATACTTTCACAAGTGCTTTTATACTGACTTCTATGTTTATAGAGGAAGTTCAGCACAATGCTTGTACAGTAGCATTGATGAAGCTACAATGTGCCACTCTCATCCTTCTTCTGACCCTCTGCCATAAACAAGACTCTAATATACTTTAAAGAAATTACTCATATGGGGCATGCTTGTGACAACATCATTATTCAGTACCACAGGCATGGCCAAGTGGCTTTCACAATAAAATGAACAAGGTTAGGTTTCTACGACCCTGCCAGGCTTGTAGAAACTCAACAGTTCCAAATCAATTCATGCAACATAGAAACAAATAAAACCTTTGTCAACCAAATGTTCTTGGGAGTATTAGACATAGTGGCGCTAATATGAGAGCTCTAGTATTACCAATCTGTACTTCCACTCTGGACAGCAGGGTTTAAACACATTCACAGCTGTTGTTGTGCACAGAGCCCAGCCTAACTTTACGTAAGGTTGTTCCCATGTAAGAGTTTAACGATCTTTAAAAACATCAAGTGTTAACTTGGCATATATAAACTTTTTCACCTCTTTAGATGTCCACTTAGAGGTTATATCAAAATAACTGTTGGATTAAAGAACAAAAAACAAACAAACCAGCATACAAAAAGTGCAACATGACACCTTTAAGATACATCCACAAGCACAGTATCAGGTTCTTGGACATGCAGCAATAACAACAAAAATACAGGGAGCCTGCAGAGCATAAAAAGCAAGAATCCTTTAGAAGGACACTGTGAGCTACTGCGCATCAGCCTGACATTTACCAAACATACAGGGAAAAAGTAGGTGTAATACACAAAAACCTTGTGAGTGACCAAAGCACTGAGGTCCACAGACCTCTCCATCAGAATATTGGCTCAACATCACTAGAAGACAGGAAGTGCTATCATGCTGTGACAACAGGCTTTTAGGAAGAGCACAGAAATTAGATGACAACTGTAGCTGCTCCATAAGACAGGAACTGTGCTGAGACAACTTCCTTCGAGTAGTGCGGCCACGTTTAGGGGTTGCATTAATCTTACGAGGTGCATTAAGGATCGAGGTGCTAATGCAAGGCTAAGTCATTTAATTACATATGGATTCTGAAGACAGAGCGTAAGATTCACGCTGTCACCCAGCATTAAAATCATTAATGTCCAGTTCAATTTTCTACTCTACTCCTGCTGCATGGTTTAATGTGATCCTTTTATCACACAATACTAATTCTAGTAAGAAAATGTGCTCCAACTTTTACATTCTTATGAATGACAGAATATTTTCTGTATTTGTTTTTAAAAATTACCGATTCTATCTGAGATTAGTTTGTTTGCAAGTCTTGGTTCTAATCTCTACTTCTAATATACATAATACAGGTTGGTATTGTACTTCTTAGGGATATTTGTACCTATGCTGGTGCAAAAATGGTGTATAAATAACAATAATATAAATAACATTGTATATCGATATTTTATGCACTTGATGTGACACTGCAAATGATATTCTCTTACAGGTCCTGTGATTTTTATTTCATTTTGAAACATGTTTTTGGTGACAGCAACTCTTCTAACTCTGACAGTTTCAATCTTTTCTCGGTTAAATGCTCAGCACAGGACTCTGCATGTTGTAGACCAGCTCAGCTTGAGTGTTTAACAGGAAGGATGTGTAAGGTATGCAGCCAGGAAAAGTGCAGCAAAGGTGGTATTTGGGTTAAAATGATAGTTAAATACACACACCTAGAGTTCTGTTACCATAATTAGCACCCGACCACCACGGGGCTGGACTGGTAGGGCTTTGATCACCTGTAACAATGTTTGGGGGGGAAAAGGAAAGAAAGAAAAAAGAAGATAGAGAAGGCAAAAATGAAGAAAAAGAGAAACAGACAAAGATGCATCAGAAGTGACACATTTCAGATATTGGCAGAAGAACTCCCATAGTGTGGCAAAAAGTCCTTTAGGTTTGCTAACACACCTGCCCAAACATTCAGACACCAGCTCACAACAAACCCCCAAACAGAAATATAGCATGAAAACGTTACAGGCAAAGAATGGAGGAGGTTTTGTTTATAGAATGATGAGCAATATTATAGCTGTTGAGACAAGAAGAAAGTGTGGGTGTGTTTGTTTGTTGTTATATAGTCTGTTATATGTGGAAAACGTAGTTAAAAAATTAAACCTCAGCCATGGCCGTTCTGTCTGGAGAAAGCATGCTGTCCCCGTGCTTTGGCTGTCTCCTACAGTCTCTCTGTGACGGACTGGTGATGATGGGCAATCAGAGAGATGTTGGGTCACATAGGTAGAGTGTTACTCCAGTGAAATGCAAACTGATTTTTATACCTATTTAGTATGAGAAAAAATTAATTCTATTTCCAGATTCCAGTTTTTGTTTTCTTTGATGACTTTAATTTTGACATCTCTTTGCACTGCAGGGACAGGTGCTCATATCTACCACTGACAGACACTACTAAAGTAGAGCACTCATCCAACAACTAACCTGCATGATAATCTGAAAGGTAATGCTATGCATGCAAGAAAGAGGAAGTGCAGCTACAGGTCGTGTTAGGCTAAAAACAAACTCCAGCTGTTCTGCTCTCCTGTCTGTTCTGCTTTTAACGTTTTTTTCAAGCACTTCAGCCATTGTTGTGTTTACTGTTCATTTAATGACCTCTGCAGGAGGTTTCAATCGACTGTACAGAAGGAAAATGCACCTTCTGGAGAGTGCTTCTTTGCATGTTGGATTGAGGGGAGACTAGATGCGACAGGAACTCACTGCATCTTTTGTATTACAAGAATGATCCGAAACTTACCCAACAATATTTAATATTCTATTGATGATTCTAATTCAATTACAGTAGATCATAAAGCATTACAAAATCATGCACCAAATATTAGTTTATTTGCAAATATGTCTGTAAATGTAAATATTGGGGAAAAACAACCTAAAATGTACTTTTTAGATATAAACAAAACAATTTCTGGTCTGCCTTTAAAATATATCCTTGTTTTACTGTTCTTCAACATCTACAGCACAATCATCCACTCCAGCCAACTGTCTTTTTTTCTCCTTTCTTTTTTCCTAATATGATTGCCAGTGTGAAGACAGCAGCACCTGTGACTCTTCTGCAGAGCTCTGACTTGCATATCAATTGACCCTTGCGCCCCTACTAGGTGGTACTCCTCTGGGCATGGCCTATTCATCATGGCAGAATGGAATACATTAGCACCAGGATTTCTCTAAATCAGCCTCGGCCCTACTGTTAAGTGCTTCATGAATGGGAAAGGGGCAATAAATTTCTAATGACCTACACCAGGACACATGCCTCCCTTTTTTTTCTGTGCCCCTGTTTATATGTACATATGTTTCTACATGCATCAATGCCGTATCTGTGCAATGAATCCTTGAAACAGTCGCACACGGGTACATGCGGTGAATGAACGGCACTTTCACAGAAACGTTTAATTTAAATGATAGACAGCAGTGTTGCAAGAAAGCTATTACCAACTTAAAGGGACAAGTATTTTTCTGCTGACAAGTGAATCTGACAGAAACAACAAAAAGTGCACAATGGCACCTAAATACAGTATTTTGTCAGTCGGCAGTCTGTCTTACCGTTGCGTGGTGTCCGTTTTCGCCGATCACGGAAGGCGGCCCCTGACTGCAGAGCCTCCATCAGGGAATCCATCACACCGGTTTCGTCTCCCTCTGGGAGAAAGCACATAAGAAAAGCACAAATGTTATGCTACAGCTCGTACATTATCATAGTAAAGTGCATAATAACTACAGACACACTTGTATGACACACTATATGGCTCCAATTTTAGGCATCGTGTTGTGGGTGCTCTCTGACTACAGGTCACCATATATCACAATAAAATAGTGCTTTATTCCTGAATAAGCTATAAACAATCCCTGCAAGTGCAAGAGCATTGAGACAGAGGCCTGTCACCGAAGCCTGCCTTTTTTTCAGTAAACAGCTGGGGAGGAGGAAAATACACTTAAGAGTTTAGTTTAGAGTTTAGAGGAGCCTCAGGATGAAAGCATCCGGTGATGGTCATTGACAGATATTCTTTCTGTGGCTAACGCAGGGGAGCTAAGTGCTCTTTACAAAGATTTAGTGTGGAGTCGCTCAATACCCGAGCGCTCTGTCTTGTTTAGTCAATGACACAGGGACTGGCCTTCGAAAAACATTCCCCTCGTCCACCATTCCAGCTGTTGTGTGGATCCACGAAATAAGAGGAGTGGAGGCAGCCAGGATGGCTGACGGGACAGGTAGAAGACACTTAAAATGTCCACAAGGCCAAGACTATGAGTAGTTGTGGACATACTGTGCACATGCAGTATACCACTCAATGGAAACTGGGTTCAGAAAGAGGCTTAGGTTCTATATCTGGGTCATCTATCTTTACGCCCTGATACTAATGAGTCAGAGGGGCACCATTTTTATCTTTCTGGTCCAGAACAGACATTATTTTAAACTAGGATCATTAGGGTGAGTTATTGTGGAGCTGAAGACTCGGTCATCAATTCTTTTGCGCATATGAGTGAACTAGCTCTTTCCCAGTGTTTACCATCAGGGTCCCGGCATCTTATTTCTGCACTGCGCTCAGATGAAGGGAAATGTTCAAAAATAAGTGGAGACAACTGGTACTTTTCCAACTCCTAGGATGATCAATCTTTCGTTATTTGTGTGTACACAACACTCAGGCAAATTGAATTTATGAACAAAACATAGTGACATGGATTGGTACACAAATACTTTGAGGAAGCGAGTGCGACCTGTACATGTTTCTTGTTATTGTCCTTCAGCAATAAACCATCCCACCTGCAATCATTCATGGAAGTAAAAGAAGACAGTACAACTAAGAATAGAAGCATGTCTTATGCTAATTTAAAAAAAGCATCTCTTCAGTCGTACTCACTAATTTTACTCTCTATCTCATTCCTTCTCTTTCTTCCTCAAGTTCTTCCCAAGGGCTACTTTGAAATCAAAGTATCTGTTCCAACTGTGTGCTGTGCTTAAAAGCAATCCTGATTAAATCAAGCTTAATTAGACCAGCTTTATCAGAACAAAACCAAAGCTGCGCCAAGTAGTGCTTATCTCAAATTGCAGCACTACACCTCAGATAGCAAGCTCGTCGGTTAAAAAGGGGGAGCATGGGTTTCATCTCCTGTGGACCTGGAGAACAATATGTTGAACAACTTGCAGCCTCTATAACTATATCAAATCCCAAGATCATTAGGTACTCGTTCTTATGTAGGCTAGTAAGGACACACTGTGAGTCTGACACAACGTGTTAAGTGGCAGGTAAACATTTATCTACAACCACTGTGGTACAAGAAACTTTTTGACAGCTCCTTCTTCACTGCCTTCTTCGTGGAGACCTAAACATCACAGGGGGCACCTGACACTTTGATCAATTCGTCCTACTTCTAGCTTAACTGTAGCACAATTCATCATTTGTAATGGCCAGGACTTTGGAGCCCTAGAAGACGGAGGTTCAGGGAGAGGACTGCAGACAGAAAGAACCAAAATGACTAAAATGGGAAGCGTTCTCCCCAGTTACTTCACAGCGTTCAATTAACTATGTCCTAAGCTGTCCAAAGCTTAAACTTGAGCAGGTCTTTGCCTCACCAAGAACTTCTCCCAACTGAGCCTTCAGACTGTCTGAACTTATTAACACATACACATGGTGTATATATTCTACAAATCTGCAAAGACAAAGTAAGCATTTATTCGGGGAGAAAACTGCACATTATTTGACTACACTTATTCCACTAATCCTCAAAGCAAACTTTCTCCATTGCTTACTGTAACATTGGCCACTTAAGCAGATATTTCTGCCTTATTCCTGCAATTCACTCATCTTATTTTGAGCTGTTAAACCTAAGGCAAATATTCATCTGCTTCTCATTAGCAGCTCTGGTACACTGCATGGTGTGGAATTACAGAAAAGCTAACCTTTTATGCCCACAGATCTTTCTCAAGAGGAAAGATCCCCTCTGCTCACAGGAAATTGCTTTCTAAATGGGTTAAGATGGGCTAAGACCCAAGACATTGACAAACCCTTCCAGTGATGAAACACCTATGCGGACACCTTAACAGACAGCCCCGAGGTCCTTAATGATCTTATTAAAGCTTCTGGAAGTGTGGAACATGGTGGCAGCTTTTGCACTTTTAGGTATTTTCTTAAAGAGTTAAATCTTTAAGATCACAACCAAAGCTATGAAACTTTACCTCCCAGATAGAGATGATCTACTGTTTCCATTTTTTTTCTTTGATCCTGCTTACCTCACTTTACCTGGATATCAGGTAGTAGCTGGCCCCAGAAGCTGAGCCAACTGTAACTGAGTTCTAGGGATTGGCTCTTATATTTACAAGCAGCACTATCACATTTTATAATTAGGAGGGATAGAAAGAGCAATGCGGTGTCAGAAGGATTGGGATAAAAACTAAACTTGTAAGATTATTATTTCACTAAGAAAAAAGTACCTTCAGTAAGAAAAGTATCATTCACCAATCCCAGGGGCACTTTAACTTTGATAATAGTAAAGGGAGGTAGGGGAGGGATAGGAAAAGGATGAGCAGAGACACTGCAAGCGTATCCTTGATTGTGTACTATTATGTAAGCATAAGATAACAAATGAAAGAATTAAGAAGGATCAGGAAGAACACACAGTCAAAGTCCACCCACAGAAGGCAGCACTGGGAACCAAAGTGAAGAGGTGGGGTGGGATTATTGACATGGACTAGTGGAGCAAGGCAAGACACGAGGGTGTGAAAGCCTTCTTCAAAACTTTGTGGCTAGGTTTTTTTTTACTTTTAATCACTTCTAAAACATACACTGCAGCCTGGACTCACATTTCATGTGATACAAATTCCTGTTTCACATTTGTTTAGTAGCTAAATAAATATGTTTATTGCAGATTAGTATAGCCACAAGCAAGTATATGTTCTACTAACAAAAGCAGCATGAGGAATGTAAAGGTAGGAAGAGGGAGAAAGACTCAGACGTGGCTGCTCATGATGAATTAACTGAGATATGGTTCTTGCAAGTTTTGCAGAAATCCAGTGCATCACCGACGCCTCCTTCAGAACACTTGTCAGTCAATGACCAATTAGAACTAAAAAGCTTACATAATGTACACGAACTAAACAAAAAAACATCTATTTTTAACTTAGGCCAATTAGAATCAGTCATCTACAACACTCAAAATATGCACTGCAATGTAAAAGAGCAGCTGTCACCTTGAAAACGTGACGAAGCATAATTATTCGAAACAGAAAAGAGAAAGAGAAACATGTACCATGCACCAAAGGCATGGCACTGCTATAATTACACAGGAGTGTCAACAATGCCTGTTCATAAATTCAATTTGCTTTCTGTCACCCCCTGCATGTTTTTTTTTCTGGGGAGAAAAACCACAGTGGATCAATTGAGAAATCAATTTCTGATGGCTCACATGCTGCCTTCATGATTTATTGAGGGGAAAGAGACAAATAATTCTTAGAATCCTAAAAAGCTTCTGGCTTCAAGTATGGATTTCTAATATAATGGCAAATTATGATATCCCGTATGCACCAGTACGACAGGTTGGTCAGCAAAAACAAAAAAAGCTATTTATGTATTTCATTCAATCGTATTTTTTTTCCACTATCCTCTAAATTTCTATTCACTTAAAATACTTTGCTCTAATCAAAGTCTCTCAACATAAGGCATAGGAGAGCTGTCTATTATCCACTACTATCCTTCCACTAGCAAATTCCTGAGGCTCATTTGCACTGTAATGAGATCTAATGAGAGCTTACCGGCCTTGTGCTTGATGAATTGAACCCACTGTGAGAGAAGAACACAGTGAGAGTTTAACCTCACTGCAGTCACCCTTCATGACTTTAGTAGACAAGATTAGAAGGGAAAGGAAGAATAAAGAGGAGAGGAACAACTCATTCTTAGTTGTTTTCTGCTTGCTGGGATTGTTTTTGAACACATTTGAGCCCATCTGTTCCCCCACAGAAAGTCACCTGTGCAATTAACCTGGACCATTAGCCGTGAAACAAAAGCCTCGGTGGAGGGGGGTGGGTTTCTGCTTTATGGCCAGGTGGAGAGGCAACAACCACACTTTCTTTTAATCTCATCTCATCTCTCCAGTCTCACTTGCATGCACCTGGTTTTGTGTTATTTTCACACCTGAATTCAGGCTCGGCCAGCAACCACCTGCATTACTCACCACCCCCTTCCTCTCACTGCCCTGCTGCCTGCTCTCTAACTAGCTAGCTTTGAGCACAGTAACCCCTTCTACTCACCCACCTGCCCTCCTGCCACAGCAGAGGGCAGACAAAGAGCATTACTGCCGCAGAGAACACAAACGCCCAAAGGAGAGGAATCGTGCACCTGTTAGATGTCTTTCTTTTTGTTTTGACCCTTTTTTGTTACCATATCCCTGCAGTATCGCTGCCCGTGACGAAAGCTTTGGCACAATAATCTGAGAAACTTTTCAGAATGGCCGTAGTCTTTAATAAGTGTGTGCAAGCTTCCTAGTTCCACTTGAATGAAGAATGAAAAAAGAAAGGAGGACGAATGGGAATTGAAGGGTAAACCGGCAAAAGAAAAATCTGCCTGCTGATTGGTCTGGACTGTTTTACTGTAACAACTAAATGAGCAAAGCCACTCATGTCCTCTCTAACTCAATTAGGGATGCTCCCA